AAAATTGAAAGTCTTTTAAATTTAAAGTTTTGCTGAAAAAATAGAACTCAATAGCTTTTTGAATATTAGGAGTAGCTACTAAACTTTGTCTATGAAATGAGTCACACGTGTACGATCTCTTGACATAACCCAGCAACCCTTAGAGGACATTCAGTATGGTTTCAGGAGAACTTAAACATGGGAAATGCTTTCAACCATTTGGCATCCCACTGTTAGGAGAACGCTGACCATAGTCAATACGGAATCACTTTCCTTAGAAGGTATGTAAATCCCATTGGGAATGGATGAATCTAATCCAACTTAAACGTGGAATATTGAAACATAATCTTACAGCAAATTACCCTCCAAAGTCCAAACATAAAAGCTATTTTTAATCAAATAGATAGATGTAAACGTTTACCATTAAAATTAAATCATATCAACCACTTTAATGTGTTTCTCCTTTCACTTAGAGAGTGTTTGTGAATGCGGTGAGTCTTGAAAAAGCAGATGTTCTAAATCAGAAGTAAAAAGTAGCTACTCTAAGCTTTGTTGAAAATCACTTCTAGAGCATAATTTACACTTTTGAAATCACAATTCATAATCTAAAGCTGATTAGAAAACACTTAAAAATGTGTTTCAATGAAGTAGAAGCTCAAAAGCAATTCTCAAATACACTCCCAAACACCCTCTTATATTCCATTTAATGACTTCCCTTAGTCTAGTAAATAGAGGGAAAACACAAACTCTCCATTAAAATTTAACACCATAGCGCTCCACTGATTTGTCTTTAAAAAGTTTGTGACCCATAAAAGAAGACTCTGAACACGAATGGGGAGGGAGGGGTGTGTCATGAGAAAAGAAATAGATAAGGAACTCAAAAATATCTGAAAATCTGAACTTTATTTACTTAGTTAATGCTAGCATTTTTTAAATTAATATGTACCATTAAAAAACTATCCGAACACTAATGTTAATCACATTGTTCCAATATGGAGCCGTAAATGTGTGATAATGACACACTGAAGGTAGTTTTATTTTTTCCTCCCATGTCCTGTGAAGTTTAACAAACTACTCCATATTTGGCTATATTTGGAAGGGATGTGATTCAGAAATTGAAATTCCATGGAACAAAAACTACTGCCAACCAAATACTGTACATTGTAGCTTTTGGGAATTTGAGAGAAAGTAATTTCTCTCCCTCCAACCAAGCATGTTGATAAGGTGTGTCCATTTCATGCATTACTCCTAGCCAATATTATAAATTTTGTGAATGGGCAAGAGAACACTTCTATCGCTCTACTAGCTTGTTGAATCACTGAACATGTTAAATGCGGAGCAACCAAGTTTACTTCACAGATGATTCCTTCACTTCTGAGTTCTAGTGTTAGAAGAATGAAAAGCCAGAAAGAAGCTTCTATTGCTAAAAAATAGAATATCAAAAGTAAAAGGAGAAGAAAAAAACCAACACACATTAAATTTGATATCGAAATAAAACGAAGACCCAACAGGGGACATACCGTTCATTCGCCAAATTTTCACTTGGCGATCATCTGCACCAGAAACAATCAAGGGGAGTGTTGGATGAAATGATGCCCAATTAACACCTCTATCATGGCCCTCTAAGACATACTTCACCACAGCATCAACCCCGCCAAAAAAATCTGTGTTCATTTGACTTAACCGCAGTATGTCATCAGCAGGCGAAACTGATTTCTTTTTCAGGGCACCAATATCCCAGACCCGAATTGTCTGATCCAAAGATGCTGACACGACCAAGTCTTCTTTGGGATGAAATGAGGCACACATCACATAATGGTTGTGACCCGTCAAGACAGAAATGCAAGTTCGAGACTGCCAATTCCATATCCTAATCGTCTGATCATCGCTTGAACTAACAATCCAGGGGGATTCATGGTGAAATTGAACAGTTCGAATGTAATCAAGATGGCCAAGGAGAGTGAACAAACACCTATGCTGCTTGTAATTCCATACCTTGATTTTATAATCATCGCCTGCAATAATTGGAACCAAAACAAGCAGTAAACAAATCGAAAACATGGTTGCAAAATAAGGCAACTGAAAACTTAAGGAAATTACTCTGCAGAAATTTCCACATATAGTGAAGCATCTTGCCTGAGTAATGGACTTTTTGGATGTGCTTTTGAAATAGTTTAGATTTTTTTAAGCAACATAAATACTGATTTTAGGTATTTCATCACTTGAAGACATTATGCATATGGATTACAAACATTTGCAATTATCATCTTAAAAAGCTTTAAGTTAAAAGGAAATAATTGAAATGTACATTCATCATATGTGGCAAGTGTTTTTTTATAGAAGCATTTTCTAAACCCAAACCAAAAGTGACCCTCTCCGGATATTGACTAGAGAAAAATTAATTTCAGATCTTCAAAGAGCAATGACAGACACAACAAATCAAACAAGCTTCAAAGATCTTTCACAAAATTTACTTTGCTTCAATTGGTAAAAGCAGTACACGGTAGTTTAATATGATCTGTATAATCAAAAAGATATTGTTGGTTGCATCATCAGAAATAAAAAGCACTGCCGCAACACAAAAAGACACAAATCCTGGAGAGGATTTCAGAAATCATGAAAAAAAATACATCAGTAAATCCAGAGAGAAAAGAGAAGCAAAAGGGAGCAGACCTCCGGATACGAATAGGGGCTGGGAGTTGTGAAAATGAACGCCCCGAACCGGTCCATCGTGCTCGTCGAAGCGATCAATGAGGGTGCCCATCCGGTAGTCCCAGAGCTGGATCACGCCACTGTGGAGACTGGCCAGGATCCATGGCCGCTTGCTGTGGAAACTCAGCCCCTTGACCCGATTGCTCTTCGTCTCGAACTTCGTCAACATCATCTCCAGGCTACGCAAATCTGAATCCTTAGATTGAATGCTGAGACCGGGGGATGAAGTCAGATCTGAGAGGGACGGTGCATTTGATATGAGTCGGGATCGAAGGAAGAAATTCCGTATGAATCTGATAAATACTCCGTAATAAAAACTGACAAAAATGGATCAGTGGGTTGTGGTGCTATTATCTAACCGAGAGAGCAAAATTGGAATGGGGAGCTCACAATATGGTTTGGTTGGGATTGAAATTTTGAAAGATGGGTGAGGGCTTCATTCTTATTCATGGACCATGGTTGCCTTTCATAGTCTTTGTACTTTTCTTTTTTTGTAGCAACTCACAAATCATATTTGTTATTTATCTTCACCTGATCTGAATGATTCTTGTTAGATTTGAATAAGTTTTGATTTGATCTAAATGTAGTTATATCTAAAGTTATATATAATCTAGTTTAAATTTTGTACCTGATTTTTGGTTTAGCTCCCTCTCAAACACCCTAAGTGGTCACACAAAATTATACACAAGTCTATGGCAGCACTGAGCATAACAAAGTGCTAGACCCGATCGCGGGTCCAAGTACCCGTCCGGTCCGTAAAAGCCCGCCTAAGAAAGTACGGGCTCGGGCTAGAGTAATTACGTGTAGGCAAGACTTCGATATTTGAGCTCGCGGGCGTCCTGACCCGATACAAATAATACCCTGTTTATATTTCCTAGAAACTAAGTTAATGGACCATGTTAAAAAACAAAGTTACTAAAGTATTATTTCTTCATTCGGCCAATAGCCCATTAACATTACCCTATATATCCCACTAAAATTACCCGTATGGATTAATGCTTTAGTGTAAAAGACCTAAAAAATACTAAAAATATCACAAATTCTCAACCCTAAATTATCACGTTCTCCGTTCCAACCTTCCAGGTTCTTCCTATTTGTGGCGATCTTCATCTTCGTTCCAGCAATCCAGCCTTCCTTCTTCATCTTTCGGGTTCTTCTTATCTGCGGCGATCTTCATCTCCGTTCCAGCCTTCCTCCATCTTCATCTTCATCTTCGTTTTCTTCATCTCCCCCCGAGCACTATTTAGAGTACATCAAATCTACCTCCTTCACCCTGTGTCACTTTGATTTTTCGTTTCCTATTTATGTAGACATAATATTAGGTTTCGGATTGAACAATAATTTAATCGTTTCTCTCCCATCCCACTCCAACCTCCTTCCGCCCCTACCCACCCTATCACCTACCCCTACCTCGGCCCCATATACACCACCATCGTCCACCTAGCTCCACCCGCTACCCCACTCCTCACTCTCATACCCTCCCCCGTCTTGGCCGTCCACACCCACTCCACCTCGTCCACCCTACCAATCATCCTACCCCTCGCCCCAAGTCGATCCACCACAGCACCCTATCCCCACCCATTGTCTCACGCCACTTGCCACCCACCCGGCCATGAATTCCGTCCACCCACCCCCCACCCCCTATCCACGTTGTGCCGCCCACTATGCCACACATATATACTAAAATAACTTTAAATAGATTTTTTAATATTAATTTTCAAATAGTAGCAATGGAAATAATTTAGCCGTTTAAATAATACTGTGTAACTATTATAAACTCAAATGAGATAGAGGAATATATGAACTTTTTCCTTGACTTGAGTGGTTGGATGACGTTCTAGATATGAAGCTCGTTCAAACACAGGTAGGGCGTTGACTCTATTGGCCCCTAGAAGTTGAGAAAATATGTTTGAACAAAATATTATACACTATTGAGGAATGAGCTACTCCCTCCGTCCCAAAACTTTTCGTGTAATTTTTTGATATGTAAATTTTATTTTTTTATTTCTATACCAATATGTAAATAAAATGAATTGAGAAAACTTGATATTACAAGTGTGACAAATATTTAGGGAGGGAGAGAGTAATAAACTAGGTGGCCAGGCACGCCCGCCCTTAAACACTTTGGGTTTTCTTGTGAAATAAACCCATCGTCCTAATAATTAAGATCAGAGAACTAGCGGCCGGGTAGACGTGAAACACCAAGAGAACTAGCGGACACAATGAGTTATTGGATGGTGTGTGTACATATATACATACATACATACAGCTAGAGCTAGCTAGCTAGTAAGTAACGTACAGATGGAAAGAGAGAGTTGGTCTTACAGCTTTATCGCCCTTGAAGCTTTGCCTTTCACACTTTTGGTATGCCTTTCCTTTTATGGCATGCTCTACGTACTCTTTTCTCTTTAATTATTAGCATACATTTTTCCCAACAATACATACATACACCCACCAAACTACCATTAGAGAGAGATTAGAGAGAAGGGAAAAGAAAAGAAGAGATCAGATCAGATCAGATCTGGAGAATGGCGAGAGGGAAGATACAGATAAAGAGGATAGAGAACCAGACGAACAGGCAGGTGACTTACTCCAAGAGGAGAAACGGGCTCTTCAAGAAGGCCCACGAGCTCACCGTCCTCTGCGACGCCAAGGTCTCCATCATCATGATCTCCATGTCCGGCAAGCTCCATGAATACATCAGCCCCTCCCTCTGGTTCAGTTCCTCCCCCCCCTTTCTTTTACTTCTCTTTTTTCAATTTCTTCTCAATTATTTCCATGTTTGTTCGTTGTGTTTCTTTTCTAAATATATTATATATAGTACCAAGCAGCTGTTCGATCAGTACCAAAAAGCTCTCAATATTGATCTCTGGAGCTCCCACTACGAGGTAATAATTGTTAATTCATTAATATTATTAATATCTCAAGTTTTTTTTACTTATATATATACGGAGAATTTTTTTGTTTTGTTTTTGTTCAGCAAATGCAAGATCAGTTGAAGAAACTGAGAGATGTGAACCGCGCTCTTCGCAAGGAGATCAGGTATGTATAATTATCAACAAATTTAGTATTAATTAAAAAAAAAGGAGTAATATAATAAATTAAGGCAGGCGTTTGATCTATGAATGGTGCAACGTACAGAAAATGAAAATATGACTAATAGGAGAAGATATATATACGTATGTACTACCTAAAAATAATTGTGTTTTTTTTAAAAAAAATGGTATATAATTATGTTAATTAATATGATGATTATTATTGTTGTTGTTGATGAGTAAATAGGCAGAGGATGGGGGAGAGCCTGAACGATCTGAGCCTTGAACAACTGACGGAGCTCATTGAAGACGTGGACTCTTCTCTCAAACTCATTCGCGAAAGAAAGGTTCTTTTTTATTATTATTATTATTATTATTATTATTATTATTATTATTATTATTATTAGGGAATTTCTCCGGTGCCTTTGCTAATGAAGGGGCATGGATGTTCTTCTACTAAATTGCTTCCATGTGAATTTTTTAGCCACATCATTTTAACTTTTAAAATTGCATAATGGCACTATCTCTTTATCCATATTTAATTTAACTCATCTACACATGCTAATGTCATTTAAAAATATTGTTTTTAAATCGAATCAATAATTCCGTTCCAAAAAAAGTTTTAATTCGATTTTTTAGGATCAAAATTAAAAACTTTGACCATGAAATTTAAAAAACAATATGTTGAATAATAATATAAACTTAAATTATTTGATTTGTCTTTAATTATAATTTTGAAATATCATATTTTTTTATAAAATTTATTAATTGTATATATACACACACACACACACATACATGCATATTAATGGTTAAAGTGTCACATAGAAGACCTAATAGTTTAAAAAGTGTTATCTCACTAATTGAACAACAAAAATAGGTGTTTGAATAATGGTTTTTTCACTTGGTAGTTTGATCTGAAAAGTCAAAATTCGGAAAACCAAAGAGAATATCTTTTGGACTTGGCTGTTAGAAAAATTAATTTTTTAAAATTAGTTTTATTGAAAGATATTTCAATATTATATGTAAAAAAATTAAATTAAAAAAAAATTAAAATTTAAAAATTGAAAAATCAAAATAAATCTGATGACAAAATCAAAAGAAAAAAATTATTAAAACTTTATATACTCCCTCTATCCGAAAATTTTCTTCTCATTTGACTTGTCACGATTTCCAATGTTACATTTTGACCATTGATAACTACTCCCTCCGTCCCAATTTATTTGCAACACTTCGAACGACGTGCAAAATATCATCTCTTTAATTTCAAATTGGTAGAGTAATAAAAAGTAAAAATTACACCATTCAAAAGTATATGAAAAGTTCTACAAAACAAGATGCGACAAGAATATTTTATTTTATCAAATGATCAACCAAAACGAGTAAACAAACAAAAGTTATCGAGAGGTCAGAATAGTAACTGTGACACTCTTTCTGGGACGGAGGGAGTATATTTATACATAGGTATATTTTATAAAATTTTGATATTTCAAAATTATGATTCATTAAAAATATATTGATATTAAATTAGAGTAAATTCCATAATTAGTTCTTTATAACAGGGGGGTTTCCCTATTTAGTCCTCTATTATCAAATACTACCCTAGTGGTCTTTTTTTATGAGTATCTTTTTTCAAATAGTCCTTTTTTATCTTCTATCATGTTGGTGTTAATTTGAGGGCTAAAAGTGTAATTTCACAATGATAATATATCTTTTTTATCATACACAATTCTAAAGGCTGTTTCGTTTGAGTCGTTTGTGAATTATAGTCGCTTTCTACTACAACCATGTAGTCTACAAATGTGGTCTTTCGTTGGAATTCTAGCCCACAATCATAGTCATTATTTTTGTGTTATCCGCTTAACCAATATCAGAACACATCACTGGACATAATGATGTCAAATTATACTTTTAGCCTTTAAATTAACACCGACATGACAAAAGATCAAAAAAGGACCATTTGTGGAAATGCGCCCTTGAAAAAAGGACTACGAGAGTAATATATGATAACAGAGGACTAAATATGGAAACCTCTTTGTTATAAATGACCAATTATGGAATTTACTCTTAAATTTATATCATAATATAACATATATTTTCCACAAATTAGAGTCAAAGTTTACAAAATTTGACTAATAAAAGTCGAATGTGAAGAACATTTTCGGACGGAGGGAGTACTCTTAATTTTTATATGAATTATATGAAAGTAAAATTTAGTACTTCATACACACACACACACACAGATATATATATATATATATATATATATATATATATATATATATATATATATATAATTAATAAATTTTATAACAAAATATGATATTTCAAAATTATACTTAAAGACAAATCAAATACTCTTTCCGTCCCTAAATATTTGCCACATTTGTATTCTCTAGGCAAAATATCAAGTTTTTTCAATTTATTTTATTTACATATTGCTATAGAAATAAAAAATAAAATTTACATATCAACAAACTACATGAAAAAGTTTTTCGAAATAAGAGGTATCAAGAATATTTTATTTTATCAAATAATCAATGAAAACGTAGAAATAAACAAAAGTTCCCGCGACTACTGAAAAATTAAACGTTGCAAATAATTTGGGACGGAGGGAGTAGTTTAAATTTATATTATTATTCAACATATTGTTTTTTAAATTTCATGGCCAAAGTTTTTAATTTCGATCCTAAAAAATCAAATTAAAATCTTTTTTAGAACGGAATGATTGATTCAATTTAAAAACAATATTTTTAAATGACATTAGCATGTGTAGATGAGTTAAATTAAATAAGGATAAAGAGATACGGCAATTATGCAATTTTAAAAGTTAAAATGATGTGGCTAAAAAATCCACATGGAAGCAATTTAGTGGGAGGGCATCCATGCCCCTTCATTAACAAAGGCACCGGAGAAATTCCCTTATTATTAGTGTATTTTAATTACTCTCTTATTTACTCCATCTAATTAATACTCCCTCCGTCCTAAAATTAACCTCTTATTTGACTTTTCCCGGTCTCTAATGCAACACTTTGACCATCAATATCTCAATTTTCATACAAATATATATCATAAAAATTATATATTTCAAAACTATGTTTCAAAATGAATCTATTGCTAATAAATTTATATGAAAATTCAATGTATTTTTTCCGTAATATACGGTCAAAGTTTAAAAAGTTTGACTACAAAAGTTAAATTGAGAAGTTAATTTTAGGACGGATGGAGTAGGAATACTCATCACGGAATATGAAGCTAGGAACTAGGGTTAGGGTCGTAGTACCTCTAGAATTCCTATATTGGGCACGTTTGGAAACAATGTTTTTTATTAGCGTTTTAGATAAAATTTTAACAGTACAAATTAACTTTAAAAATACTAAAACTAGCTAAACGTTTTCCGTAAATAGTGTTTTCAAAACGCTGACGCTATTCGCAAACATTCTCATTATAGGGAGGAGTACATAATTAATTACCGAGTATATGACTTGTTTGAGAACTTAAAATTTTTGATTACATGTTTGAAAATTCAAATAGCTTAACTTTAGACTTAGGCTCAAACTTATCTAAGTTATAGTACTCCCTTTGTCCTAAAACTTTCTTCCCAGAGCACTATTCCAACTTCACGAGAATTTATATTTATTTGTGTTTTTTCATGGCCTATATGATAAAATAAAATATTCTTGTCACCACTTGTTTTGTTGAACTTTTGATGTAGTTTTTAAATATGTATGTTTTATTTTTTATTTCTATACCAATATTTAAATAAAATAGATTGAAAAAAACTTGGAATTTTTCTTCGTTTTGCGAACCAAGAAGAAAGTTTTAGGATGGAGGGAGTAAAAAAGTTTGGTGTTTCAAATTTATGTTCACTCCTTTGTAATTTGAAATCTAAATATTCGAAATTTAAATTTGAAATCTAAATATTCAAAATTTAAATTTGAAATTTCAGAGTTCAAATCTAACGAATTTCTATTTTATCAACCGAAAATATCTTAACCCATTCTATAAACCAAGATCTATGGCATGAAGTCTATCATACTCCCTCCTTCCATTTAAACATGAGATGTTTTAATCTTAAAAAGATTTATGGGAAATGTATTTTGGTGTTGAATTTTCATAAAATGTCCTTTGATGTGATGGATAAAAGTAGGATTTGATGGGTAGATTATTAGTAAAAATGTATGATGTGATAGGTAGGGTATGAAAGAGTAAGGAGTAAAAGTGACTTTTTAATATAAATAAAAAGTATTTTTTGGGACGGATGAAAAAAGAAATGAGAAAGATATTTAGGAAGGAAGGGAGTACACAATATGCTATACTCGGATGTTTTTTGCGTTGCTTGAAGTGAGGTCACTTTGCGCGCGCACACTCTTCACATACTCTACTTTTAATAATGAGATTTTATTGTTTTATTATTGTTGGTTAATTAGCTACTTCATTTTTGTAAGTATACATTAACTATCCAGTATTATCCCAACATTATTGGAGCCTAGAATGTACACAATCTTACCATTACAAAAAAAGACATAAATTATTTTTGTTAGATCTTAGATACATTCATGTATATATATGTACTGGCTAATTAATAATGCCTAAAGTTTCATAGAAATAAGAGAAATTTAAGTTTAATTTCTCATTTTATGATTTAGCCATCTTATGTCCAAAACGAAAATGTTGTTAAGAGTGACTATTTTTGTAAATAAACCAAAACTAATTTAAACTTACTTTTTGTTGTATTACGTGAAACAGTATAAGGTCATTTCCAACCAAATTGAGACTCACAAGAAGAAGGTACCTATGCTACTCTTTAATTAACTACATAAAGCTCTGTGAATTTAATTTCCCATCAATTGTATTACTGCACATTTTGTAATTTTATTTTATACTATTTCTAAGAATTTTTTTAATAGGTGAGGAATGTGGAAGAAATCCACAGAAACCTGCTACTCGAATGTGTAAGTCACAATTTAATTAATTTCTTTTCTTCAATTATTTATGACCAATTGTGCAATACTATATTTTATGGACTTTAGAAGGTAACGTATATATGGGAGTTCTTGTTTGGGATTATTGGACAGGAGGCAAGACAGGAAGATCCATATGGACTGGTTGACCATGAAGGGGGAGATTACAATTCTGTCCTTGGGTTTCCAAATGGAGGGCCCCGCATACTCGCTATGCGCTACGATCCCGATCAACACCACCACCCGCATCACAACCACCTTCAAAGTGGAGGCGGATCTGATCTCACTACTTTTACTCTACTTGAGTAGTGTGTACCAACTAGCAGTACGTACGTGTTTACGTTGCGCATTATTATATCCGCTTTGATGTTTCAAACTGATGTTGAATTCGAACATATTTGGAAGTTTATTAGGTTCTTGGATATCTAGTTATTGACTAATGATCAAACTTGCATTGTAATAAAAATTGCTTTGAACATCATTATGTATTTATTTATGTATAATTAAATTTAAGTACAACCCATACCATATCAATGCACCACACTTTAATCGGTGACTTGTTTAGGTCTTGTGAATGATACCAATTTTCAACTTATAAATTTTAATTTAATTTTATATCAATTTTAAAATAAATTAAATTGAATTGTGTTGTTTACCTTCGGTCGAGCAGAATAGTGTTTTGAACTACACAATGGCCCCGTTTGGCATCAGCATCAGAGATTAACGTTAACATTTTGAAAAAAGCTATCTGACAGTAGGCTTTAACACTAGTTTTTCAGGATTAATCTACACCATTAAAATTTTATCCCAAACGCTAGCGCTAATCGAAAACTCTATTTCCAAACAGGGCCAATGACTTAAATATTTTATTTCATATTTAAATTGTCATTTTCTTTTTTTTATAAACGTCTCAGAGTAGAATTCTTGTTTTTAAAATGCTATGGTTAATATATTTTTGTATTTGCCCTTCACTACTCCCTTTGTCTAGAAACATTTTTTCTTGTTGCGGATTACAATACTTTTCCCATAATATTTTAAATCTATTACTTTGTTTGAAAAATGATATCTAATTTAAATTCGAAGTAATATTTATATACCCCTTAGCTTTACCACAAGTTTTATTGTAACAAAAATATATTCCGTCCGTCTGGACCATCCCAAAAAGATTACCACATCTCTAATTAGAGTTGTCCGTTAACTATTCACATGATCAAACTTTAATCATTTTTGGGAAAAAAACTAAAAAAGAAGTAAAATACTAAAAAAATATACTAAATAGAAGTGCCATATTTTTATTTCAAAATATAAGCTAAAATGGATTTACATTACATTATGTACATTACAAAAAAGTACTTCTTTCGTCCCATTTTATATTGTCCATTTTGACTTTAGGACATACTTAAGGAAGGGAAAAAATGGTGTTGAATTTTCAAAAATCCCTTACTTTGTTCACAACGGTGGTGATGAATAAGAAGATAAGGTGGAAAAGAGTGACTTATTTTAAAGATAATATAGATATTTTACTTTTAAAGATTAATTATAAGAAACATACAACTTATTTTGGGACAGACAAAAAATCAAAACAAACAATTTAAAATGGGATAGAGGAAGTATATATAGTAAAAGGCACATGTACATGTAACTCATATTTATGTACTTTCTTTATATTTTACTCTTAGTTTATTTAAGGTAATTTTCTTCATTCTTTACCCATCTCTATTACCACTTAAGAAAATAATATAGTTTTATGACTTCTTATTTTGTAAGTTTTTTATGTAATTTTTAAATATATAAGTTTTATATTAAAATCTCATATCTATTTTCAAATAAGTTAAATTAAAAATAAGCACAGTTCAATTTCGTAAACACTAACAAAGGATTTAAATTAAGACGAAAAATTAAATACTCTATAAAGTACTCCGTACCCCGTATTTGGAAACGTTTTACTCCGTATTTACTTTTAATGGCATTGCTATATGAATTTCCCAGCCTCTTGCGGACTAGTGAAAGGTTAATTATTTAAAAAAAAGAATGGAAAAAAAAGTACCGAAAAGGGAAAACATAAAAATTAGGGAGAAAGAGAAAGCGGCGGAACGGAACAGAGGTTCTTCGGGTTTAGGGAACTTGCAGCCATGGGAGCTCTTCCTCCGCCGCCTCATTGGCTTCCCCGGGACGATTTCTTGCTTAAAAACGCCGCCGAGGTACAATTGGAAGCCAGAAACTGTCTCTTAAACCGCTTTTCTTCGAGTATTCATTTCAGTCCGGTTCTCAATACTTGTTTTGTCAAATAGAAATTTCTCGTTTTGCTCTTGCTTGGAGATCATTCATTATCGTTGATCGCTCATGTGCTTTCCTTCTTCTGGTTATTTCGTTTCCGCGCTTTCTGTTTCGTTTTGATTGCAGTACTCGCAATTTTAATGGCTGAGAATGACAGTGTTTAATCTCATGGAATCCTTTACTTTGTTTGGACAATGTGATTATTTTTCCTCTCCGCGTTTTTTTCGCACAATTGTAATTCGCTTTGGTGTTCTTGGGGGTTGATCATAAACATGGGAGGAATTTGTTTGATTATGGGTAGAAGGATGAAATTGGAACTTATCACGGGACAATTTGAAGTGGGAAGCTGTTGGTGTGATACTCATATACTTATGTGATTTCATATTTTTTTCCTCCTGTTTCATTTTTTGAAACACATTCGATTTGAATGCTGGCCTCCGTTTTGGCTACCTGGCTTTGAAGTTTTAAATTTTCATAATATTACAGTTTTCTTACTCAATTTCTTCTGACTCTAGGCTGGTGCTTCATTAGAGTCACTTGCGAGAGGTGCTGTAAAGTTTTCCCGGCGGTTTACTGTTCAAGAATTGCAAGACAGATGGATCTCTCTTCTATACGATCCTGTTGTTTCAGAACAGGCATCAGCCAAAATGCTTGAGTTCGAATGCCTTTGTGCATTCTCATCAAACCATAATGATAGCTGCTTTGACAATGAAAACAAAGACTTCAAATCTGTTTGTGGAAAGAGACAAACTAGGAGTGTCAAAAGGTACTATTATTCTATGCGGAAGAGAATCCGCGACGAAGCATTCCTCCCAACCATTGATGTGGATTTCCTTACTGGTTCCTCCGGTAATAATAATAACAATGATAATGGTGATGACTGTAATCCTCCTCCACTACCCCCCGACTCTTCATTCTTTGGAGATTCATTGACAGATCAATTCGGTTTCATTGGTAATAGTGTATTTCCTAACAATGAGCACAACATGCCCGAGAATATTTCTGGAACTGAGTTTGAAGTCCCACTTTTAAATTCGCCATTTGGATATTCGCCTTCTTCTGAGATGCCCCCAGACTGGAATGATTTCACGCTTCCTGTTGATGATGATATCATTATTCAATCAGAACCACCTAAAATGGAGGATCAGATGGGAATTTCCACTCCTAGCACTGATGATCTCTTAGCACAAATAGACTCCATTCTCAACTCCACCAGTGACGATGATATGTTCCCAATAGATAATATCGAAAACGAATCTTATTTGGACACTTATGGATCGCTTCTGTTGGATTCTCCAAATGGTGGCGGAGAAACAGAAAAGGAGGAGAACGTTATATTACCCAATGAACCATCAGTTCAAAAAGCTCAGCTTCATTATTATGGTGGCGATCAAGTGCTATTATCATCTGCTTTGAGTGTCAATCCGGCATGTCCAGAACTGCGTAATGGGGTTATTTGCTGTACCTTAAATACGGAGGATCCGGATATTCCTAGCAATGATGATGTTTTCCTTCCAATTCGCATTCCATCAACACCTTTACCCTCTGCTGTACTATGCAAATACGACGAAGCTTACCGTCCTACGTTAAAAAGTGCATCTGATGTCCAAATGAACAACAGATGGTCTTTCATGAAGATTAGGGAAAAAAGTGACATGGGGGTACCTAATATTGACACTGCTGGAGATGTGGTAACAAGGAACACAAGCTCAAATGAAGGTTTGAAAGTAATGACTTCATCAAGAATAGCAACACCAACAACTACCCTTGCTACTAGAACTACGATATGTGCTCTACCTGCAGTAGCTTTTACTAAGAACAAGACCTTAGTAGGATGTTCTATGGATACTCCCCAAAAGCAGGAACTATGTTCTCATGATCCCATTTCAAATGCTTCAATGTTGGACCAGGAAGACTTGTATGATGGTGATAGTGATGGGGACCTGCATGATGATGATGATAGTGATGGGGACATACCTAATTTTTCAGATGTTGAAGCACTGGTGAGGGAAAACACTAGGAGCCTGTCTCAAATAACTTATGCCTATATGTTCCTTTATCATAAGTTATTTTTCTCATTTAAGCACTTAAAGTGCTTTTTAAAAATGCCAATTTTCTGCTTTCTTAAAATAAGCAGTAAAAGGGTTTTTTTACTGTTAAATCTTTTTTCCAATTTTCCACCAAACACTTCTTTTTGGGTTGAAGTCCTTTTTTTCTTTAGAAAACATTTATTCTTTGAAAACAAGTCATCTACTCTCTATATGTTTGTAGTATCAGAAATTTATTGACAGCTTACCAAGGCTAATAATGCTATTTCTTTGTGGTTGGAGATCCTTGATATGGAACTGAGCCCCGATGACAGAGACATCTTTAATAAGAAAGGTAGGGTCTTGGTTCATCTGCAGTTGATGACCATTAGCACTTACCCCTTCTTGCATAATATAGTCAGGACTTGGTGTGAGCGTGGGAGGAGATATACATGACTTGTTTGGTTGGTTTAGACCCGATTTGCAGTTCTAGTCATATAATCTAGTTTGTTAACACCCTTCCTTTGTTAATGTAGATAAATTGCAAGTCTATTTGTCTGTTCTTTTATTTGTATACAAGGTTTTAGATTGATTAGACATGCAGATAAATAGCCAAGGCATTGGTAACTTTTTTTTTGGATTTTGTTTTCCTTTTGTGAAAGATAATTAAGAGAGGGACCCCCCACATCCCCATTACTCAATTTCACTGCATATTACATGTAGATAAAGTGTCTTGCTACTCCAACTTCACTTCGTTGTGGGGCATATTTTAATATTTGAGCAGTAAATTTGAGTGTCTTGGCACTCCAACTTCTTTTCAGTGCGAGGCATAACCTAAATTTTGTCAATCAAGATGATGTCATTTCAAGTGTAAATTTGAGTTTTCTTCTTCTTAAGCTATATCTAATTAGTTCGTGACATAAATATTATCTAGTAAAATGTACAAAGCATAACATTTATACATGTTAAACACATTAGTTTACTGGAAGTATTATAAATAGTGCTCCCCCATCCCATAAAAAAGGTTCAATTTCTTGACTTCCTTTTGTCCCAAAAGAAGTTGTATTTATGAAAACGAGTTAGTTTTCATGTTGGCTAATGGTTGTACCTTACTCAAAATTTGAAAGTTGTACCTTGATAAAACCATACACTTTTTATGGGATGGAGTTTGTCAGCTAAGGTTCAATTTCTTGACTTCCTTTTGTCCCAAAAGAAGTTGTATTTATGAAAACGAGTTAGTTTTCATGTTGGCTAATGGTTGTACCTTACTCAA